AGCACAGTTGTGATATGGGCAGCATAATTAAGCCCCCTAAGAAAAACCTAGAAGTTGTTTCTCAGACCCAAATTCTTCCCACTGCAGGGCAAGGGGGAGGAAGTGTTTTGTTTCTGAAGCAGTTTGTCAATGAACACATGAGTCAGTGTCTGGAACTCCGGGTTCAAAACTCATTAGATGTGAATATAATGTTTTATAACTTTAGAAAAAGTAACCCAAACGATGTTGTTTTTCCTTTGGTTTGCTTATATAGCACAATTTGACTGGCTAAAAACGTTTGATATCACACAGAGAGGAATAAGGGCAGCACTGCTCAGCTCCAGTGTCACACAATGAGCAGCAGATCTGATCCACCTCAACTGACTGTTCCCTAGGAATGGTTTTGGCATTGGCTGAAAATAGTGCTGAGGGTAACTTGCTTTGACCATGTGATGACACTTTGAGTTGCAAAATTGCTTTCAGATAACTTGCACTGAAAAAGTAAAAATAGCCCAGTACATCAGACTCATCTGTGTGGAATGTATATATGCAAAAATAGGGCTCCTTAATATTTACAGTTTGTCTGGGCAGAACAACCTGTCATGCTACACTCGGCTTCACTTTTAGGCAAACAGTTTGCACTGATACTGTTGCAGGCTGTGTCATTTCCCAGTGTGCAGCAAACATTAGAGAGGCATTAATTTAACCACTCTCTTCCTTGCAGTGACGCTCAGAAATGTCATTAGTGATCCTAGACAAAGGTGAGAGGTCACAGCTTTAGAAACAAGTGATTAAAACGTGTCCCAATGTAACAGACTAATTGATCTTTAGATAATAATAGATTTTTTTTCTCTCTTTTCTCTCTACAGCTGGGAGTGTTCACTCTCCCTCCACAAGTATGGCAACGTCTGCACAATACAGACAGCTCATAAATGACTATGGACCCCCATCTCTAGGTTATACACAAGGGATGCAGGTACAGCTCTGCTTATTTTCCTTTAATCAGATCACTGACCCCACGTTTGCACAGTAGCACAGATTGTGGCCTGTAATCTGAGGTGTTCCTCCCTCCCACCAAGGTTTGAAATCAAACCCGAATGGCAGGACTGCTTCCTCACACATGTCTGGGGATCAAATTAGACTAAGCAGAGTGCTGAGGGAGGTTGTTACTAATTAACTGTTAGTCCCATCCTGTGTGAGTCACAGAGAAACATGTCTTGAATTATGTTAGTAAGGGCTCTAACATATTTTAAAGTTATTTGTTAAAAAATGAATATTTCTGTACAGTTTTCTTCTCACTCTCCCTGCCCAGCTAACTTCTCCCCAAAATATACACCTCAACACTGGAAAAGCAGGAACAGGGTTAACAGTTGCTGTTTGTTGTAATTGTTTTGTTTTTACAGCATTTGATTGAGATTAATCTACTTTCAACCACAGGGTACCAGCAGCAGTCAAGTACCACAGAGCAAATATGCAGAACTTCTAGCTATCATAGAAGAATTAGGAAAAGAGATTAGACCCACATATGCTGGGAGTAAAAGTGCGATGGAGAGGCTAAAAAGAGGTAACTTTTAAACTTATTTTAAAACAATAATCGTGTCCCCTACACTTTGTGCACTGACTGCTTGTGTCCAACTGCATGACAACTGTGTCCTTTGTAAGGAGACAGCCTGAGCTCCTCATGGAACTGGAAGTATTAACCAGCAGCTGAAACCTTGGGATGCTCTGTCTGTGCTGTATTTGATAGATAAACAGTGACAAAATGTGTTTCATGTGCACACAGAGAGTTCCAGTTAATAATTCAAACCCTGTTGTAGAACCCTTAATGGATACATTCTTTCAGGCTCCCGGTGACTTACTTGCCCCTTCAATTCGGTTTTCTCCCCAGTCTCCAAAATACACAGCCAAGCATTGTTCACTTCTCCTAGCATCTCCCACCTACTTGGCCCAGGAATCTTCACTGAAGTGCATTTTGCCTAAAGAAATACAACATTGTGGAGATTCACACTGGGGCTGGTGGAGAGAAGGTGTCAGGGAAGGCTGTTCAGACTGAGATGTCAAACATAAATGTTCTGTTACCTGCTGTCAAGTGGTTGTGGTGTCATTAAGAGTCCACTAGAAAGGGCCAGAGAAGCTTTTAGGGCTGGCTGATGAGTCTCTGTGGCTTTGCTTTGTCAGCTAAAAGGGGTAATAAATGCCCTTTCCTTGCAGTGTAAAAGAAACCCCTGCATGCCCCACTGGTGACATCAGCCTGACATTGTCCTCTGCAGGGGACGTGCAGGGATATTTCTGAAGGAGCAGTGGGACATTCCAGTGCTCCAGCTCCTGAAATGACCCTGAAAGGCCATGGACAGCAGTTGTGCTGCCACTTCAGTCCTTTGCCAGTGTAACATGGTTACCTTTTCCTCCCTTCCCGTGGTCCTTGTGCTGAGATTGGCTCCTGCATTTGACCCGGAATGGAAATGTTATTGTAACAGAGTAACTTCACCACCTTGCAAATCCTTTACATTTACCCAAGACTACAAAGCTTTATTTAAGGCTCAGCCATTATGGGAGAGTAATATATCTGCCGTGACATGCAATAAAATGACTAGTAGCTGTTCTGGGAAAGGATGCAATAAAGTCTGCTGATGAGTGGTAAGTGGAATCTGGCCCAGCTAAAATCAATGTTGCTGGAGTCTCTCTTTATTGCATTGCCTGAGTCAGTATTAATAGATCATGAATGGCAATAGGCTAATGGGGACAGCTTGAGAGAGACCAGGGGAGATGCAGACCTTCTCTGAGCTGGATGGTTCAGTTTGGGGAGGAAAAGTTGTTTTGCTGCTTCTTGAAGCGAGTATTTAATTTGTTGGTTAATGTAGGTTTAAGATTCAGTGCTGCCACTATGACTTGCCTGTGTTGCAAAGAATCCCAAATAAATACTTTTTGCTGCCATCTTTTGGTCACAAACGTACCTCTCTTTCCATTTTGGGAGGCTGGTGGCTGAAGGAGCATGTGCAAGTGTGAGAGCAAAAGTGACTGAGGGGAACCACGTGACTGCTGCCTCCATGGCCATGGAGGTTATTCCTGAATAAAGTCCCTGTCCCCAGCTCCACCCGCTCCTACTGACCTCTAAAATTGGCCAAAGTCCCAGTGTTCTACATTATTCAGAGTAGTTGTGCTGCATAAACTGGGCGTCCTGCCACCACATCCAGGTCTGACACACTGCTGTGAGTAGGAGTTTCTGGATCCCACAGCTGCAGCTTTACTCCTCTGTGGCAGTTTAACCCTCTGCAAAGCCCTGCACTCATCATGTCCCAGGTCAGTCCCCCTTGGATGGAAAGGCAGTTGCTGTGACCTGGGCTAGCAGCCTTCTAGAAACAGAAGCCATTATCTCTAGAGACTAGCCCCCATCTATTGCCTCACTGCCCTTTCTTCACCTTGTTAAGGAGCATGATTGAGCAGAGAAATCACCTTCTATCCTGCCCTGTCAGCAAAATAGAACCTCCTTTGTTGTAGAAAAATCTGCCCATCTCCCATTTTCAAATCTGTCTCAAGCTCTGTGAACACAAATCTCCATTTAGTTCCAGAATCAAGGTCCAGATTGCTGGAACTTCAAGGCAACAGGACTTGTAGTGGAAAATTCCACATTCTGTCTCTCAGATGAGAGTAGATGTAAAGTGGTGATGATTTCCACTGGGAGCTGAGCCAGTGTTAGGAGGTAACTTTTTGCACACACCATAAAAAAAAAAATCTCTTATTTTTACAAGAGACACAACTTGTCTTTAAGCAGGATTATGATGGCTTGGATTTTGATGCATCCTCAAGGAGAATTATCCCAAGGGACTAAGACTTTCAGAGCTTGCTACAATGACTCCCCAAATAACTTTGTAATTTGTGTCACTCCACTGTAGCAAAATAACTCACTGGTAGGCAAGACTTTTTTTTTTCCTTTATGTCTTTGATTTTAAGTAGGTCCACACTGCACATGAAGATCTGCCTGTCACTGCAGACCTACAAATCTTCCTGTGCCCTGCTTTAGTCCCTTCTCAATTTATGATGCGAGTTTGGGAGAGCAAACTTGTTTAGGAGCAGCTGATGTTTGGGGCACGAGGGCTGCCTCCCTTTTCTGAGGCCTGCTCTGGTAGCCTTGGCAACTTGGGACAGAAATACATAAACCTTCCTGTGGGCTGTCATTGCAAGTGTGACCTGAATGGGATGATTTAAAACATGTCCAATTCTTTTGCAGGCATTATTCATGCCAGAGGATTAGTTCGGGAATGCCTGGCTGAGACGGAACGGAACGCACGATCTTAGCCCACTAATTCAGCTGCAAGATTTTCCATCTCTTCATGAAGAAAAAGTAACACTTATTCCTTTTGACTCTTGAAACATTCAGACAAATTCCTTTATTTTGAATGTTTTACCTTTCTTGGTTTGCCCTTGCAAAAATGTATAGTTAAGAATGGAAAAAAAAAAAAACCAACCAAGGATTTTTCAACTTACCGAGGGTTTGCATTTTGTAAAGATGTTAAAACTCCCTAAAATGTTTCTAAAACATGGAAACTGAAGTGCATGCAGAGGAATGCTCTCTCTCTCCCAGGCTATATTTCAGTTCTCTTCTTATCCAGCCACAGCCTCATTCTGTTTTTTCCTTCGACTATATTCACTTATCCCCAAACTGTCAATCTTTCAGAGTTTGACAGAAGCTCTAAGGATTTTTTTAATAAATGCAGAATAGCATGCTGTACCTAGTAGTCTGCTAAGTCACAATTTGTCATACAGCATAGACCCTGCTTAGAAATAACCTCCCCCTTCTCTTATTTTTCCTTTTTTTGTTCATTTTGCATAACCATTTGCATGACTGTTAGTGCTTTGAAGTCCATTTAAAGTGCATGAGCTATATGGAAAACAGGGAAACCTATTAAATAATAACAAGGTCCTGGAAAGCTAATTCCTACATTAAGGCTGGAGATTTCAGTTTAAAGTTTGCCAAAAAAAAAAAAAAAAGGAAAATTCTGGATAAATGACTAAAACTGTTATTTGCATCTTTGTATGTATTTATTACTTGACGTAATAAAGCTTATTTTCATTAACAGTTTGTATTAAAACTATGTACAGTCACTTTAATCAGATTTACACTCCACAAACAAGAAGTGTCACACAGATAAAAATTGAACCTTCATGCAGGAGTTCAGGAAAGGACAGGGGAAGGGGCTGCAGTTTGCTGCTGAGTCTCCATCCATGGCACTGTTGGGATGCAGTCAGTCTCTGGGAAAAGGAGGTGGAGTTCTAGGTCTCTGTTTTCAAAATCCATACTCTGGCTTTGGGTCATTGGTGAAGGCCAAAACTTGGTGGCAGCTGGTGAGGGTGCTGTCCAAAAATGAAAGAGAAGCTCTGGTTAAGCAGGTGGGAGTTGTTAACGGGGTTAAACCAGGAAACTGCACCTCAGCAGTGACTTCAAAGTAGGTGAGAAAGGAAATGCAGCTGCATCTGTTTGTTTAAAATGGGAAACTCAAAATGAGTGAAGATACCAACATGCCCAAATTTAACTGCAGCATGGCATAAACATAATAAATGACTAATTCACTATTATAAAATAAAAAAAAAATCTAAATCCTAAAGAAAATGGGATGGCCAATACATACAGACCAATACAGTATTAAGAGGCAAACTTGAAAAAGAGTTAATTAATTCACAGCTTGGATGAACTGGACCCTGTTGCCTGGGGAGGCAGCTTCCAAAAACATTGTTCCTTATCTGTAATGACCCAGTTTTACCTCTGAACTGGAAGAAATGACTGCCCAGCCCTCACTTGAGGAGAGACCCTCCTTCCTGCACCCAGTGCTCAGCACCACTGCAGGTAAGGTCTGTAAAGCTGCTGTTTAAACTTTGCTCAGAGCTGAGCAGGACAGAGCATTTGTTCAGGTGACACATCTGGAGGAGGCAGCCAGTGACTGGTGTCTCTTCCATCAGCAGGTCAGTTCACACCAGCACAACCAGTATCTAAACCTGGTTTATAAAGGATTTATGTCACTGAAGGCATTGCCTGAGTAAGGATGGGAAGTGAGAACCTTTTAGTGCTGTTTTCCTCGTGTGCTGGAGCCCCTACAAAGCATCCCAAGGTGTCACCTGGGCAGAAAGAAATCTACTGAATTTTTTTTTTTTGTCTCCCTTAACAACAGCGGAAAGTTTACAGTTCCTTTTTAACAAGGATTCTTTTATCTTCTGAACTTGGCAGAACAACTGATTGCTAAGTGTGATTAATGAGATGATGGCAGACAGAAGCAGGAATACCTGAGTGCTTTTATCCCTTTACAGCAACAGCAGGTCAGCACTGGGTGTTTCAGCTGTGCCTCTGAAGCCCCACATCGTGTTAGTCTGAAAGGTGTGTTCAGGTCTAATGACATATTTCCCTTACCCCACTAGGGCAAGTCAGTATTTCACATGTTCATTTCTTATCCAGTAGTTGCACCTCTTTAAAAAGCTTTTTCCTTTCCAGGTTTTCCTTTGCTCTTCTTTTTTTCTCCTGCTTCTTCTTCTCTGATGCTTTTTTCTCTTTATAAACATCACTCTCTTCACCTCTGTAGAAAAGATCAACTTTTTCCTGCAGGATTTCTCTGGCAATCTTTCTGTTCTTCTCCACTGATCTTGTTTGATGACACTGAAGAAATACAACAGGATGTTTTTACTGGAACCTTAACCTGTTTATTCTTCTGCTTTCCCTCTCAGTCTGTATATTCCTGCCATTACAGCAAAGAAACTCCCCTCCTCCCAAAGCCAAGAGCATCCTCCTACCAATAACAGCTGGAACTTTTATATCCAGATGATATATTTTAATAATTATTGCTACTGCACTTGTCAGACTGGCTTTTGCATTAATCTTTAATGCTTCCATATTACCTTGGAAAGCTGCTTGAGTTTAACTTAACTTGTGTCTTCCCCTTGTGACAGGAAGCAAAGATTAATTTCAAGGTATTAATTCACAAGAAGTTGGTAAGGGAAATGCTTAAAAAGGATCTGCAGAGTGTGAGCAACTTGTTAAAGAAGAGATTCTCACTCCCATGGGGGGGACAGGAATGTGACAGCTACCTGAAAACTACAAACCAGTAAATTCATGGCAAAGCCAGGAAGATCAGCTCTGACCCCAGTTTATTTATCTGCTGACAGCCAAAGGTGCTTCTTGCTGAGATACTTCACCATAAACTTTTCCTCGTGCCACACACACTGTGATTGTGCTTTACTCTGAAAGGAGGCCTGGAAGTCGTGATGCAATTTGTGCCTTAACAAAATAGAACATAATTACCTTCACTACAATCCCAGATGGAATATGCTTCAGGACAACACAGTTGTTTGTCTTATTTGTGGCTTGACCCCCTGGGCCATCACCTCTCACAAACTGTTCTTCCAGTTCTGCCTCAGTGAGTCCAAGGAGATTCAGGGAGTTCCTCTTTCTCGCTGCCTGAAGCATGGGAATGCTGGGCAGGGAAAGCTGCTGCTTCCTCAAAATCCAGGGTGTCCATGCTGACAATTCTCTCAGTAAGAATGGAAAATGAGAGAAACCTGGAACATTCATACAGGAGTGAGGACAGGCTTCTCTGGGATGAAACCTGGAAGGGAAGTGGAGAGTGGAGTTTACTATGAGAATCCTTGTTTTCAGATGATCCAGTTTGGCTGCACATCTTATGCAATATTTTCATAATCAGGTTTGTTTTCAGGGATATCTGAATTGTTTCATTGGCATTTGCCCTAGAATATTTACCATTCTGAATGGTATTTTGGTTCTTAATGTAATTAGGTTTCTTAAAATAGTTGGGATTATTATTTTTGAAAGGGATCTGGAAAACAGTAAGTCAATAAGCACTCCTACCAACGCTTGGGAAACACTAAAGATATCAAATATTTAAAAAAGAGAGGAAAGAGAGGTCATTTCTACCTTGGAGTCTGACCTGAACAGCCTCATGGATAATGAGGAATGTCAAGTCCTACTGCTTTCAAATGTCACTCTGTAATAATCAATTATGCTTAAAGTAGAAGAAAATACTTCAGCGTGTGAATAAATATCCATAAGAAGTTGAACATAACTTGAAATAATTAAATAATAATAAAAATAATTGAAAATATTCTTAATCAAACTTTTATTGGCACCCACTGAAGAAGTTAGTAATTTTTTAATGAAAAATACATGCAGAGAAACCGGGAATAAGCCTTTATTTAGCCGGTTTCATACGGCTCTGCCCGCTTTGAAACCAGGACTGATAACTCTTCATAGACAGGGTTAAAAACCCACGTTCCCTCGGCCTGTTCCCGCTGTTCGACCCCACAACGACAAAATAAGAGGAAACACGGAAATCCCGAGCAATTCACTCACCTCCGCCGGCCCCGCCGCGCCCGCGCTGCGCATGCGCGCGCCGCGAAGGAGGGGCGGTACCACTGCGCTGATTGGCACCTGGGACAGCCAATCGCTGCGTGCGGGGGGCGGGCTTTAGGCGCACCGTCCCCTTCACCACCAATGGGGCTCCTCGGGAACCCGCGCGGCGGCGCGCGGGCTCTGCCGCGCAGCGAATCAGCGCGGGAGGCGCGGGCCGGCGCGCGCTCGAGGCGGCCAATCAACGCGCGGCGCTCGGTCCGGAGCGCCCTCTACCCTTCCCACGGTTCGAAACTCGGGGCCGCCAATCGCCGGGCGGGCGGCGCAGGGCCCGCGCCTCTCCATCGCCTCACGGCCGCGGCGGGACGCGGCTGGCCGGGCGCCGCGGGCTCCCAGCGATGCGGGTAAGGAACCGGGCGGGCCCGCGGGGCCAGCGCCGCCGCGTTTGGCCCCGTCCCAGCGCCGCGTCCCGGAGCCGCGGAGCCGCCCCCGTCGCCCCGCCCCTTCGCGCGGAGACTGGCGGGCGCTCCAGCCAATCAGAGGCGGCGGCGCTGTCAACACCGCGGAGCGCGGGGGCGGGGCTTGGCCCGAGGGGGGCGGTGGGGGCGGAGTCGGGGGGGGGGGGGGGGGGGGGGGAGGGGCGGGACCGGGGGGGGGGCGGGAGCTGCCCGGGGATGGGTGTGGGGGCACCGCGGGAGGGACGCGGTGCTTGTGAGAGCAGGAGGCCCACACGGGGCCGGGCAGGGGGCACGGGCTGAAGGGAGGCGGTCCCGGGGGCGTAGACGTGGCGAGAGGGGTCCCCGCGGGGGCTGAGCCCTTGAGGCCGGGGCCGTTCCTGAGGACATCGCGGCGCTGCAGCCCCGGCTCCTTGTCCTGCCGCGGGGTCCCGCAGAAGGTTCTTGGGGACGCGGGGCCTGGCGGCGAGGGTGCTCCGAGGAGCCCTGAGGGACCTGCTCGGGATCGGAAGGGAGCGGGTCTGGCTCGGGGGGCGATGCGGAACCTCCCGGGCTCCGGGGCTGTGCCGGCCCCGGCGCTTGCGGCGAAACCGGCGCTGATATTTCAGAGTTAAAACACCTCACGGGTTGTTTTTTTTCCGAGCCTGCCCCTTTATGCAGCGACGTGGCCGTATAAGGACCGTGCTCTGCTGCGAAGTCGAGGGATGGCGGCTCAGCGCTCCCGCAGCCCCGTTATAGCTCACTAAATATTGTTTTTATTGCGAACAGACTTGTAATGAGGTTATGAAACGAGCCTGTGTCACAGCTAAGTCCCACCCATTGCTGTGCTGCTGAGATAGGCCGCCCATGGTTCCATCCTGGGGGGGAACTGATCCCACATCCAGCTGCTCCAGAGGCACTCCCAGCATCAGCTTTAGCTGCCAAGTCTGATAACCTCCAAGTTTTCCAGACTTCTGACCGCTAGAAAAAGAAGAAAGGCGCTTTTCTTGTTGTTTTTTTTTTCTCCTTCTTTATCCCAAGAAGCTCTGCCAAAGGGATATGTGTGTCTCTGGTAACTCCCTTTGAATTCTGGCGTTTTCAGCCCTACCCAGAGGAGATGGTGTGAGTGAGTACCCAAAAAACATTTCTGCTGAGCCAAACAGGCTCCAGGAAAACAGGGAAAAACGAGACAGTTGTCTCTCAGTTTCCTTCTGGTAGAAATATTTTATATTTCCAAAGCTATCTATTCGAGATATATCTCTATGCACTTAAAAATGATGAAAACATGAGTCTGTACAACCCATCAGCATGTCTTTGTAAGGCCTGTAAAGAGGAATGGTCGTGCTTTGGAGGTGTTGTGCTTCTTTAAAGCAGCAGGAATTTGTTCTTGGCATTATCACAGGATATTTCCTAATGTCTCTTTTTACTGTCCATCTGTGAAATGATCATAAGGTTTTTCTTCAGTGTTATAACAAGGGCTGAATTCACCAGGGTGTAGAACATGCTGAAATAAGCAGTATATAAGAACTGATTAATTAATATATTTCAAGTGTTTTCTTAGTGAAAGTAGAAGAATCTTTTAGTCTCTCTACAGCCACCCTACTTTGAGTGCTGTAAGACTATGGCACAAGTATTGTGTGTTTATTTATTTATGATGCTTTCAGTTAACCAGCTGCTGTTTTGAACTGCTGTGGGATTCCTGTCTGACTGCTTTTTTTGTTGTTTTATTAATCTCTAAGAAATGTAGCTCAGAACATTTTCAAAGCTTTCTGAATTAGTGTTATATAATAACAATGAAGCAAGTGACCTGTGAAAAAAGTGAGCCAGATATTAGACACAGAAATGGCAAAACTGGTCAAACAAGTGCAGTTTATTTAACTCAGTGGGTCTCGTGCTTATTATTTTTGGTGAGTGTGTTTCTCCCAGTGAAGTTGCAGGTCCTTGATCACATTTAAATATATTGATAGTAGATGTTTCCACAGAAGTCTTGAAAACACCCTGTGGAGCCTCAGATTTAAAAAAACAACCAACCAAACCTCAACAACGCTGTTTTACCTGGAACATTTTGCACTGACACCCTTTCCAGTCCAGTCCAGGGGTGTGATGCACAGTTAGGAATATCTTTGACTCGTAGGAGTCCCAGCAGGCACAAAGTTAACTGAGGAGCTCCTGTTGGCAGGTGTAGCCCAGGGGAAGGGAGAGGGGCTGGTTGTGGAATATTTGCACTTTCTGGGGTGGTTTAGCCGAAACAACTGTCTCTTTAATTCTGTTTCTTCAAGCAACAAAGTCAAATGGTTTTTTAAAGTAAGAAGGTGATTCTTATTTCTGTCTGTTCTCAGGGTAACGTACTTGGGACCAAGATATGGAAAACTGGGATGTGGTGAATTCTGTACAGGAAATCCCTTCGTCTTCTGCAGACTCTGATGTCAGAGACACCCACAGCTCTGTCTGTAACTTGAACTGTAACAGGTAATGTGCTGAAGGAATTCCTAACAAATATTTTTATTATTTTGGGTTTGCTTAGTTCTAATGTTTTTAGAGTACTATTGTTATTAAGGTGAAATTATATGTAAGATTGCAATATATTTCAGGGTTCTTTTTACTTTCACAGGTACAATCTTGATGAAAGTTTTATTTTTAGAGGAAAGTCTTACTGAAAGAACTGTGAAGTCTTCCTTAAATTCTTAGTTAACTTCCAGTGCCTTGTGTCTCTTAGAATGGGGGAGGAAGGAGAGAACCTGTTTTGGCCAAATTCTAAGAGATCATTTTTTGGAAAGCTCATGCGTTGTGTGAAGTCATTTTTGGAGAGCAGCAGCTTAGGAAAACTGAGATGTTTTTCTGTTTAATGCCCGAGGTATTCCCAGGGAATAAGAAGTGCAAATATGGCCTGATGGCTTAAGTGAGAGGTGGTTCTTGACTGCCCTGTTAAGATGAGAGTTACAAGTCACTCCTGCCCATGTCACTTCTCCAAGAGGCCTCAGTCCTGCCCTTCATAAACCATTGCTCCACAGAAGCTCAGCTCTGTGAGCTTCTGACCTCAGGCTCTCTGAGGAATCACATGAGTTTGATGCAAAGCTCTATTTGTTGATGTTTGTACCGGTGAGCATCAGTATCTGTGCTGATGATCCTGTCTTTCTCCTTGGAAAGCTACTGCATTTCATAGTTTGTAGGGTAAGAGTGAAGCACACTGTGGATTCTTTGACATTGGCTTGAAAAATCTCCTCGTGAATTTATCATTTTTATTTCAAGATGATGAGAGTCTTGGTGTAAATTAAGTGTATAATTCTTTTCTGGCTGCCTAGCATATGTAGTGTATTGTTTTGGCCACTGTGTTGCACAAGTGACACAATAAATAATTGAGCTATTTTTCCTCATGTTTCACTAGAAGTCCTTCATCCAATCCCAATGGAGTTTCTGGTTACTCAGGGAATACCAGGTCCTCATTAAAGCCTGGTTCTGTTGAACTGTTTGCCTCCTTTATGCAAGACATCCAGGCCATTGGAAATGCTGACACGGAAATTGTGAAGAACTGTGAGGTAACTGATGTTCGGGTTTATTTAAAAAAAGTTGTATTAATGTATTTGCTCTGCATTTTGGAAGACGAATCTAATGATGTAGTTCAGCAGCAAGATCCATATATGGATTTATATATAAAGATATATGTGTTTATTCTTCTTGATAGGACAGATCCTTTTACAAGTATGAACTAATCACCTGGCTGGATTTTATTGCAATTTTATCTTAGCATTTTCCACTATTTTATCTCTCTGTCTTATGTTTTACAATACAGGTGTGAATATTTTCCCCCCAAAGTTTTAGAACTGAAAAATTTAAACCTTTAAAACTGTAGCACTTCAAACTGATCTGAAGTGATCCTAGAAAATAGAATTTTTCTTTCTAAAAATGGTTCTGTTTTGCTTGATTTATTTATATGTTCCATTTGTAAAGATGTGTAGGTGATCAGTTTGTTTCCAGATTTAAAGCAACACAAAAAAAATGATGGAGTGTCAATGAACTTATTCTCCCGAACGCTTTTCTGAATGTTTTTGTCCTTTTTTGTTTTATATGTTATCATTATATTTAGTCATCATAAGGAACATTAGTTTTCCACACCATGGGTTTGTTCCTGCAGAATTTTTGAGCTTTCTGGCTGTGATCCATCACAGTGTCTCTTGACAGATGCTTAATTTGGGTTCTCTTTAACACCTCCAGGAACAGAATGCTGATGTCTGTGTCCTGTGCTTCAAGTACCAGGCTCCATAAACATTGGCATAAAATAGTTTTTAAACATCAGATTTTGCCATGTTTTAGGAATGCTGTACATTTGATTTTTTTAATTAATTTTTTTTTTAATTGCATATTTGTGCATCATGGCCTTCAGCTGGATTGCTGAAGAGTTTCTTATTGAAGTAAATGGTTCCCTGGACAGAGGGATGTTTAATTCTCAGTTTTAAAATTGCCTTTAATTAATTGAACTGGATCAGCCTTTCCAAAATTTGACTCTACTTTCCTGCCAGCTGTTTCTTCTTTTAGTTCCCATTGATTGACACGTTGGGGGCTGCAGGGGTGGTGGGCTGGGAAACCACGGTGCTGTTACTCAGCTTTGCATTATGTCAACACCTAAGTATAGGATTGCAAAGCTATTTGTAGCTACAGGAAGAGGTGAGAGATACAATGTGACTGTGCTTTAATTATTTTACTTTGTGATTTAATAGACAAGGTGGCTACAGCTGCTGAGACTGGTAGAAAAGCAATGTCAGCAACAAATAGTTGCCCAGCAAGAGCAGTTCCACCATCAAATCCAAGTAAGTAATGATTTGGCCATGTGGGTAGATGAGGCTGAATGTTTCTTTTCTCCCTCCAACCCCACACCCCTCCAAAACAATGCAGAGAGGCAGGTAATGGAAGTGGACTACTGGAATGCTCTTTACTGGATGCATATTTGAGACAGCCTTGGCTAATGAACAGATTAACTGGTAGGAACCATTTCAGAAGAGATTTGTTGATAATCTGTTTTCAATTGTTTTGTTTTCAGAAGCATTTGGTTCAGAATGTCCACGTGATAACTGGATTTTGTAGGTACAAGATGGTTTTTATTAACTGTTAGACTGTTTAATTTCTGATTTTGAGCCATTGTAGCTTTCTTTTCATTAGAAAATGTTGTACTACTTGTCCAGACAGCATAGCATAGGAAAACCATCACTGTAATAGCTGAACACTTATTTCACCCTTCAGCTGAACAGTCTCCTTTCTAATAATGAAAAATAACCCCTGTGAAGGTTCACGTTTTTGCTGAACCACATTTATCCTTCAGAACAGGAGAAATGTCTTTGTATAAGAGACAGTAATACTGTAAATATACAATGCTTAGTATCCTCATCATTTTGGTTGCTGTTTTTCCCTTCCCTTTCCTGGTGCCCTGCACACTAGTAATAATCAGCAGTTCCTGAGCTGAGTTAACAAGAGGTACTGGTCCTTTTATCCTGTTTCTCCTGCCTCACCTCCTCCCCTGTGCCTCCCATCTTGGCATTTTCGTCCCACCAGTGTTTTGTTACCTTGTTATTCCCTTCCTCTTACTGTAGTGGTTTGATTCACTTGTTGATCATAGTCTTTACTAATCCATTGTGTTGGCTTGGCTGGTTTTTGTCTTTTTTAATAGGAAAGGCTACCTCTGGAAGAGCTGAGGGCGTGGTGCCAGCAGGGACTTACTAACTGCATGAATTGCCACACTAAATACAAAATTAACAGCTACCACTCAGTTGTATGAGTGCATTAGATAAAGTAAATGGAGCTGTTCCAAACTTTAACTGGTGTGCCAGGGACCTGCTGAAAACACAGGCAACTCAACACATTCTACTAAGAATAATAAAAAGACAAAAATAATAATCTATTTGGTGTAGAAAAGCAAGATGCTGCATCAGCATTGAGATGTCTGAGATAAGGCTTGCTCGAGGCTGGGTTTCAGGACCAACTGTGCTTATAAAAGTACATCTTCATCCATGTGAAAATAGGGCTCAAAAGACCTTGAGTTCATTTTGGAATCAGTGGGGTCAGTCCTTGGCTTATGTGACCTATACAATAGGAGATGAGCTGTCACCACCTGTGGATCATCCTAAAATCAGACTTTATGAAAAGGATTTAAACCCAAATTTTCCTACAATCCCAAAACTTTAGAAACCTTATCTTATTTTTCCCAGGTTTTTCCATCTCTTGCAATTGTTTGTGACTATGCAAAGAGATGTTAAAATGCACTTTAGCTGGAATTGTAGCCTTTCACTTTTCCAACACAGGGTATTAATGACAAAGATTAAATGTCAGCAGGGAATCTGATCTCCCTCCTCACCCCCAGTTCTGTTTTTTCCCTTTTGTTCTCCCTTCTCTACCTTTCTGACAGATTTCAGTCACAGAATTAAAGTGCAAACAATTGCTGCACTCATGATTGAAATCACTAATAGAGCAAAAAACTTTGTTATGGAAGAAAACTTCATCCCAAGCTTTTTGTTTGTTGGTTGGTTTTGGCATAGAAAGACTGAGCTGAAATTCAATTGTTAATTCTATTGCAAGTCAATAAAACATCTGAGGCTCGGTCCTGACTAGAGTTACAAGTAGGTTCCTCTGAAATTGTCTTATTTTTTATTTCTTACTTTAAGAGAACAAATGATTTTTGTTCAGTTCGTGCTTTCCAGTTGCTGTTCTCGTGTGAGTGATGTCCTGTAGTCCTGTGAAAAGACAGGAGTTCCATGTTCTCAAAAATTATTGCAAGGTCTTTTTTTTTTTTTTTTTTTTGCCTTTCCTGAGGGAATTAGTTTGAAATATGTTATTGAAAGGAACTCTATACACTGGTCTTGTCACATGTAAGAAGAGTTGTGTGCTCCTGCAGTTCAGTAATCTCGAGATAACTCCGGGGAAGTGCTGCCCATGGGCACTGATGGGAAATCTTTCCATAGCCCTTGGCAAAGGCATCATTTGTTTCTCAGAGCTGTTTCAGTACTTCCAGTGCACAACTGTAAAACTTAAAAAAAAAAATTACTTATGTACTGAAATAACTCTCTGCAGACATTGTAAACTAAGTAACGTGTTAAATAGAGTGATCCAGTCACAGGTTTGTCCCATTCCATCAGACACCAGAGCAATCTAAATGTAGATCTTTGTGTTATCCCATAATATCTAAATTGGGTATTTTAAAGTCAAGTTTTATGCAAATAATCTTACAGAGGTACATTATTCCTATTAGCATAATAAAGGAATGGTTAATCCTTCCAGTGAGGCATCCTTGCAATCTTTAAAAATGTATATCCAAGTTAAAAATTGGTTTAGACCTAAATTCAGCAAAACATTTCTGTCCCACGTTTGTGGATAGTTTGTATTTCTTCAGCTGGCTGGGAGGTGACTGTCGTTCTGAAGGCAGTCAGTGAATACATTCATGCATGTTTTTTACATGAATTAATGACTCCTGAGACCTGGAATTCACTGCATGGAATGAAGGATTGTTCCCATGGACATTTTACTGTTGCGCGCAGTACGTACCGATCTCCTTCATGCATGAGGTGTCTGCACATCTTGGAGTCCTATGAAATAAGTGCTCTAATTCTGTCACTAATCACATGAAGCATCAAAATATAGATGTGATTTGTGCCAGCATCTCATGGGAATCCTGCCTTTCCCTTTGTGCAGCTGATTCAGGCTGAGATCAGGCAGCTGGTGAAGTTTGGGAGCAGCAGTTGGGGAGCCGGCAGGAGCCGGGGTTTGCCTGCCACGCTTCCAGACACTTTTCCACCACTAACAATTCCAATGGGGATGCGATCTGAGCTCTTGGAGGAACACGAGAGCATTGTCCATCAGCTCAGATCCAATGAAGCAGAAAGCCAGCCCAGAGCATCCGACCTGCAGCAGGAATGTTGCGGCAGCGACGCGTCCATGAACAGCGGGTATGGAACGCTCTCCACCTCCGAGCTGAACCCTGACACGGCCAACAGCACCAGCAGGGCCACAGATTCCATGGAGAAAACTTCCCAGGGACACGGGGATGGAGCAGGGTTGCAGAGTGATGCAATTGTAGCCAGTGTTCAAAATAAAACAGAACTTTTACCGAGAAGAATAGAGGAAAATCGTTCACCGGGAAGGAACAACATTTTAGTTTTTCCTGCCGAATTTGAGCATAAAGTTGATGAAGCTCCATGTGGGAAGAAACCCAGGTAAGTGATAAACTTTCCAAGTATGTTAATTTATTGTAGACAGTTCCCATTGAGTAGACAGCTGTTTGTCACTGAGAACATGCAAGAATTGAATGGAACCTCTTGATTGTAAAAAACTTTGCTGCTTGGTAGATAAATATATTTGTTTAGCCTGATGTCTCTGCGTGATGCAGGTTTGCATCTGCAGTGTTTATTTGTTGTAGATGTGTTGGAGGAAGAAATACCTTCCTTATATGTGTATGTTTCTTACCATCCAGTAAATCTTTAACGTCGTGGGCACAAAAGTTGAAACAAAACCAACCAAAAAGGATAACTGCAGATGAAGTGTGTGTGAACTCTATGCAAGAAAATGAGAAAGTGAAGAAATCACCACTTGAGAATGTAAGCCTCTTTTTATTTTATGTTTTTCTAATGTTATTCTTGTCACTGGTATTTTTGCAGAGTTACAGTATGTTCTCATCCAGCATATCCTTTCATATTTAGCATTTAGCAATTCTCATTCATATATTTAAAGTTCATGTGGGCAAAGTTTACTTTTTGGATCATTCCATACTCAGGCACACAGTGATTTTGGCTTATTTTATTCACTGCCTAATCTTTGTCTCAACACCTCCCCAAGTGGCACATGTTCTTTCCTTATGGAGATAATGGCCACATTCTCAACTGAAGCTTCAGGTCATGGCAATTTATGGTGCCCTGTAATTTTTTGAAAGATCTTTTGAAGGATCTGTCAGCTGCTGATGCTTCTTTTGGCACATAAAATTCTTTGTGTTGTTAAGGCTTTAACCACTTTGCCCAGGACAAACATTATTCCAGAATGGGATTTTAAATTGCAGAGATTTTTTTGTTTAGTTTGGTTTGGACTTTTTTAGTGTTCTCAGCAGTCTCAGTTTGAATCAGCTCAAAATACTTCTTTTGAGAAGAGTTTGGGTTCCCCCTCTCTTGTACTTTTGAGTTAATAATTGTGTATGTCCACAAATCTGATTATTTTGAGGAGGGGAGTTTAATCACATATAATATTTCTGATCCAAAAGTCTGTTATGCAATGTGATTGCATGAGTAATCATCATACACCCAACTAGGAAGCTTTAGAATGACTTCCAGCATATTCAATGTCACAAACCTCTCTCCTTATGCCATTTCTAAGGAAATAATTCCTGAAACTCTGTGAATGGCTTCTACAAGAGAACAGAACTAGCAAATAGGAATCACTTGATTCAAGGCAGGCTCTATTTGTTTTTTCCTGTGGTCACTTGGAGGATGATCCAGAAAGGGTGAGAGCAGCTCTTTGGGTTTGCTCTCTTCAGTCTTCTGTTGTCAGTGGAAACAAGATATTCTTCTAAGGGGATTTTTCAAACCAATAGTCAAATGCATCTGCTGTGGTTGGTTTTCTTTTCTCTCTCTGCTACAGGAGAGGGTGCATAAGGAAATTAGTGCCAGAAACTCAGATTTTTGAAAAGAGCTTTATCTTTCTGTTCCTTTGTAAGAATGCAGTTGCTATGCCTTCATTTTCCTTTCTTCCTCCTTAGGCAAAGGAAATACCTAAATAAAAACATTAAGAGGGACAAAATAGCCTTGAGGTGAGATGGTAATTCCTGCAAAAACTTGAACAGCTTTAGTTCTGATTTTTTCTCTCTTACTTTTGTTAACTCAGTGGTTACTATCCTGTTACAGTCCTCACTTGTATGAGGTGTGTGGATTTGTACAATTGTTGAGCTGCACTAATGGAACAAAAAGCCCCAAGCAGAACAGAAAAGAGCAATGTGAGATGACCATTTTTAAGCAGCTGCCCTTCCTCAGTTGCTCTGGTGTTATATCAGTGCCACTTCTTCCTTTGGTTAAGGAAGAGGAGAGTTGTGGCAAATCTTAAATAATATGAATTTTTCTTTTCGTGTTAGTCCCACCCTTTTCAAAGTTTTGCTTTAATTAGCTGGGGATGTTTGGAAAGTTGGGAGTGATGAGCAGAAGGATGTGGAATACCTTGTCTGTCTGAGATGACAGACAGTGGTACCTAAAATTTGGGGTAGGTAGAGTCATAACAACTGAATAGATGAAATTCCAATCTTAGGATGAAGAAGGAAGTAACTCTTTAATGTTAAATCATCTCTATATACTTGTACCTCTTAAGGAACAAGAAAGTTGAGATGACTGTCCAAAATGTGTATTTCTGTAACAGCTAGTCTCAAAAATGCTCCACAAGCACACAGGCACTATATAGAAAATAGAAATATCTATCTATCTATCTATATATAAATATAAATGTGTTATGTATCTGTATAAATATATAAATATTTTTAAGTTACGAGGCATATCTTAGTTTCCCTTTCAACTGTGATTGCTCTCAATATAAATTGTGTAGGTTTGGATCATGCTCTATTTAATCTCTTTGCTTAAAAAGAGTAGTAACATTTATGTGCAATTTAAAAAAATTATACCCTTGTTTTTTTTTTCCTTGCCTTGTGATTTTCCTTATAAATTTGTTTTCCCACTGTAATTTTAGACAAACCTTACTGATGCTGCTTTGCCACCTTACACTTTTTACCTCAACCAACCGAAGGAAAGTCCCAATTCCTTGGTGTCTGAAGCTTCAGGTAGAGTTAATTTCTTGTACTTAAATTTCCTTTTCTTTGGAATTCTCATTTTTCAGTACTTTTGCTGGAATGCATCTCCAATAACTCCAGGGAGGTGAGGAGGATTTAAGCACTGACAGGCTTTGATTTAGCATAATTCTGCTTTTCTTGCTCCTGTTTTCAAACTGATGCAGCTCCTTTGTATCACTGCTGGCAGATGTAGGACATGCAGCAGTTGGGTTTTTTTTCCAAATTTCCCAAGATTCAAAGCTGAGCTTTGTGTTTAAAACTGTTTCATAACATAATTACTGTTAAAATCATGGCAAGGTATCAAATGATGCTTCAAATATGAGCATCATTGACCTGGTAACGTGGTGATTCTTTTGTGTTCATGGGTTGGCTTTGTTGTTCTGGGGGCTGGATATGAAGGGTGGTTGGTGGTGGTTTTTCATGGTTTGGGGGTTGTGTTTGGTTTTTTTTTTTTTATGAAAGCCAAAAAACTAATTCCTGTATTTTGATCATAACAGGGTGGATTCCTGTCAGTAACAAACAGGGGCACAGAGATGCAGCCCTGCAAACTGTGTATAATTATTGCTGCTTCACAAGCCACTGAGAGAGGGACACACATAAAAAACTGAAGTGGGGTTGAGTCTGTGTCTGTTCCTCTTGTGCCACCCCTTAGTCCTGGCAGTCTGTCCTTTTGCATGTTACAGAGAGCTGCTCAACACCAAACTGAGGAGTCTGCAGTATCCAGTGGCTGCCTGGGATTATCCCTGGGGTGATACCAGTTTAAGTGCTACACTGGAATCATTAGAAATATAAAAGTCTGTGATAATTGAGGATTTTTCCCCTCAACACCCATCAGTGAATGTGGTGCTGTGTGATGTGATGCTGGTTATGTTGCCTGTGCCTTGCATTGAGGTTTTTGTCACTCCTGGTAACAAATGCTTTAATAAGATCCTTAAGCAGTAGATGCAAATAACTAACACAGCATTCTTGTTCAAGACAAAATAACATTTCACTAATGGATTTTGAGATTCCTGTTCTATAGCCTTGAGCTTGAAATTTGTCTTTTTTTTTTTTTCTTTTGATGTTTCTTCTTGTCAGGACTTTCATACTGGAAGTTAGATGAAAAGGAGATGTATCACACTCTACCAGAGAATTTCAGAAGTGAGTTTGCTGATGTTTTCTCCACAAAAGTATCACCAGATCAGGTAAACTTTGTATGTGGTTAAAAGTTGTCATCTTTGGTTTTTTTTCCTATGATGGAAAGAGCCAGACCTCCAGAATTTAACTTCTGTGTGAGAACTCTTTTGTTAACTCAGTCTTTCCTACTCTGCTCCTTTGTTATTCCTGTACCCCAACTAACCTCACTTGGAATTTATTGACCTTCTTTTGTTATTCAAAAGAAACTGTGTAGGATATGAAAAGTGACTCACTAGTGTGTTAAAGGTGCCTCCTTAAAGACCATTTTTTAACCTGGCTGCATTGAATAAAGCTGCCTTCTGTCCTGAACTGCTTTGTTAGCTAAGCCCACCCCAAAACTTTTTTATTTATTTATTTTGGGGATGGAGGATTGTGTTCAGAAAAAGTAATGTAGCAATTTTGCCTGTTGAAGTTGTCTTCTGCTGAGGAAATGAAGTTGTCATCCCTGAAGGATATTTATCATAAAAGACAAAGGGAAAACAAGCAGATGCCAGACCAGAATGTTTTGCCTTCTTCCCAGTCAAGTCACCCACCAGAGGTAACATGAATTTCTTTACTTCCCGTCTCAGTTGAGGATATGTTGAATACAGGCTGGTTTCACATGAACTGGCCCCTGCTGCCACCTCCAGTGTTTTGCTGGAACAGCACTTTGAGCAGCCGCGGGATGAACCAGCCCGGGAAAGGATCCAGCTGAAAAGAACCTCTGAGAACACCCTGAGTGAAGAGGCACCTTTGCAGCACAACCTTGAGGATGGTGCAGGGACGGCTCTGCCTGTGCTGAGGCTGCAGCTCATGGAATGCACTGGAACTGCAGTGGCACAAGCGGGATTTTCTCAGTGCTTCCCATGAAACAGGACAGGCACAGGTTGTGGAAATGATTCTTTATCATCTCTCTTTTTTTATACAGCTCTCAGTCCTGTACATAATCCAGCAATGATGTGACTGTATTGTGCAGATAATTCATGAATTGCTTTTGTAACCTACAAAGTTATTGTTTCAACATATAAACAGATATCATAGACCTTCTGTTTGTGTAAGTGAAATTTCAAAGGTTTTCTAGACAGCTACAGATGTTGGATATGTCCTTTATTAATGGAAACTTAGAAATTTGGGAATGTGTATTGTCATTGAGTGTTACAGGCACCTTCTTATTGTCACTACCAAATGATTGCAGTAATATTCAGTGTAATGCCTGCAGTGTTATGTGCTTTACTGGTGTCTTCAGATCAACTCCATTTCAAAGAAGAAAAGTTAAATCACAGTTTTTTAGCATTGTAACTTATTTCCTAGATCTTGACGTTGGACCCAACCCTGCACATGAAACCAGGTCAGCAGAACCAGGGACGCTGTTTTTTCAATATTCCTGAAGAGATTACTCCCTTTTCTCCAGACTCCATGGCAGAGCCAGGATTTTCAAGTCATTGTGACACAGACTCTTTTTCACAGACAAGTCGTTCTTCTCAGTTAGATGATTCTCCCAGACACCCTGCCAGCAGCAGAGCTGTGCACTTGGACTTCTGGAGAAATCACCTGTTCCAAAGTGAAAACAGGAGCAGCTCCCCTTTTCCAAAGGCATACAGGGATGCTGACCATGATAGTTCAGTCAGTGCTGAGGAGGAAGAAACACTGACTTTAACTCCATCCTCTGTTACTCAGTGTGCTGACAACACTTTGCCAGATTACAGCCTTTCAGTAGCACCTGTTGAAGACCCTGTGCTAATGTCACAGTAAGTAATTTTTTTTTAAAAGTCAGAGCTGTTACTTTCATGGAAGAAATGAAACAACAATAGTAGTAAACCAAAGAAAATATATGAATTCGGTTTGCTTAGAACAGAGCTGGACATTCCTGCTTTTTTTCTTTTTTTTTCTTCTTTTTTCCCTCCTTAAAATACAGCTGGAGTATAAATAGAGCAGTCATTTTCCACTTCTTACAATTGTCTTTCTTTAACCATCCTATTAATTTTCTTTAGACCACAATATTTAGTCTTCTTTAGACCATACAATTTATTCCAAGGCACAATATTTGTGTTTTGTCTTCCTTGGACGTCAAAGCCTTAACTGGAAGGCAAAACAATTTTCTAGGTTTTATTTGGTTATTTCTCTTTATACATAAAAATAAAAATACATCCTTCCTTTACAGGCTGTGGGAGGGGGTTTATTTAGGCAGAGAATTTCAAAGTTTGGGGGTGGGTCTGTTTTCTTCTTTAGAGTCAAATGGTGGGAGAAGCACAGAACTACTGGACTTAGGAAAAATAAATATTCACTGTTGAAGCTCTCATGCTTTGCACATGGACAGGCATATATTCCACGTGTGAGGCCCTGTAAGCTTTGTATTATGTTTGTATGTATTATTTGTGTATAATAATCATAATTTCTAGTTGTATTAATGGAAAGAATTCTCTGGCTTAGATGACAAAACTTTCTTTGCTTTAATTCCAACGGAAAAAAGTTTTGTGAGAGAGATTTGTACGCAGAGTTCATTCTGAATGAAACATCCAAATGATTACATATGGACAGCTGGATTTTTTTTTTTTTTTTTTTTAATTCTTAATTTTAAAACCAGGATTAGGCAGAACCTGAGGGAGAAACACGCTCGACACATCGCTGATCTCCGAGCTTACTATGACTCGGAGATCCAGAGCTTAAAGCAGCAGCTGGAGGCAAGTCAGAGAACTGCTTCTGCTGAGGACCTGAAGAAAATCAATCAAAGTCTTGCTGACAGGTGCTGTTTGTCCTTCCTTGTTGTCTTCCTCTTTTCATGGTGTTCTTTGCACTTTCAAAACTGGGCATCCTTGTGTTAGAATGGTTTGAAAAGTTGACGTCACTCTTCAATTCTGAAGATTTCATGGATCTGTGATACTAATATTTCTCTATTAAATATAAATTTTGCATTATTTAATGCAGCTGTTCAAGCTGTGGCTGCCCCATCCTTGGAAGTGTCTAAGGCCAGGTTAGATGGGGCTTGGAGGAACCTGGGATAGTGGAAGGTGTCCCTGCCCTGGATGATCTTTAAGGTCCCTTCCAACCCAAACCACTCCATGATTCTGTGAAAATCAGTTTATTTGGCCTGATTGTTGCTGGAGCCAGTACAAACTTTCTTTGGGAATGACTGGCAGGCAGAGGTATCCTAAGCAATTTGAATGGGAATGATCTATGTTGTCCTTCTCTACCCTTCATGTCAAAACTCCAGATGATACAGGACTAGTGTTGAATTCACTGGTGGGTTTGTGCTGCCCTCTGTGTGCCCCACTTGTGTATTCCATTAAACAGAGCTTGAATGGTTGCTATATATAGAATATTGATGAGATTTTTGTATCATTGCCAGTCAAAATACATATTGCAAATTCAGGCAGCTAAAATACTTCACAGAGTTTATGTCCTTCAGAATAATTGAGAAAACCTGTGGGTAGCTGGAACTCTTTTGTACTTCCAGCACTAAAAGCTGACTTCTGGGCAGTCTTATTGAGTCAAAGTAGGAGGAGGTCACAGGCTGGGCGCCAAAATTCGTGGGGAGGCTTGAGGAAGGAAAGAAGGCTATAAAATGTAGATTTGTTATTTGAAGATTTGTGTAATCTGTATGTTCTCAATAGGTGTGAGCAGTTGGATGCAGCTCTGAACGAAGCCAGTGCTCGCATAAAAGCCCTGGAAAATAAGAATAATCTGCTGGAAAAGCAAGTGGTAAGTGTATGTTCTTAAATCAAGTTACTTTTTAAGTGAAAAAGAAAAGCTTGTTCGCTGTTAAGCTGATCTGTGTTTCTATGCTTTTGTCTTTTTATTTTCAACCTTTCTCTTACTATGTGACATCAGCCAGTGTGTTACACCAGTGATTTTCCCAGCTGAGTTTCTTGGGACTCCCTACCTGAATCCTCAGCACTTTTACTCATGAACCTTTTTCCAGGTTAGCAAGGATCAAACAGAGTTCAAGAGCGAAATATTGTGATGTGTTTATCATGTTTCTCTCTAAATTTCCTAATTTATTGATTTTGCTTTAACTACTTTCTTATTCGAACTGTGATAAAAGCAAATCTCACCTGTGCTGGGGCAACAGTACTCTTTCTCTAATTATATTTACTCTGGTTTTGGCTAGACCAGACCTCTTTGGGTATGCATAAATAAATGCTGTGTTTATTAGTCAAATTACAGGACACTTTGTCTTGTAAGTTGGACAACTGCAGAGACCAATTCCACCTTTCTTAGACATTTTTCTATGCTGGGAAGCAAATCAATCACCTGAGATTAGAGGCTTCATCTCTAGATATTATAAGTCCTGTAAAATAAATACATCTTTGGTGTTTCCAGTCTTCACTTTCATTCTTGAAGCGTCACAGAAATGAGCAAAAAATCCTGTTTAATTCGTGTCCAGGTGTACCCTTGTTTTCTGTTTAGATGATTTCAGGTTGCAGTTTGCACTGAAATAAATAATCTGCCGGGGAAGTGTTTATAAAGGACGTTTTCTCTCCTCCAGGCAGAGTGGAGGGAGCGTTTCCAGGCCCTCAGCAGCACTTCCAAGGTTCTGCAGGAGCGGATCGAGGAGATGCGGACGACCCACAAGGAGAAGGACAACACCATCAGCCGCCTGCAGTCCAGGCTCAAGGAGCTGGAGGAAGCTTTTGAGAAGGCCTACAAGTTATCTGATAATAAAAACACGAGGCTAAAGGAAGAAAACAAAATGTTTCAGAATGTAAGTGAGAAAATGGACAACAGGAAGTCCGTCCTGGGTGTGGAAACTGCTCCGAGTTTCCAGCTGGAAAGTCTTAATGCACAACTCACACAGCAGAAATGACTCAGCTGACTCCTTGTAGGCTGGGTGACACTAATAGATATTTAAAAATAGTTATTTAAGGCAGCTTATGTGTACTTGATAACCCTTCCCATAGTCAGTCTCAGGTATTTATTACTCTAAGTGCTCATAGTTAATTTTATTTTTGAACATAGTACGTGAAATTATTTTAGACAGTTATTTTTTTCCTCTCTTAAGTTTGTTGGAGATGGACTGAATTTCTCATACCTCATCACAGCTTGATAAAACTGTTCATTGGGTATGATTTTAGGCTGAATCAAAGGAATTTTTCCTCCAATTCTTCAGGAATAGCTTTATGGAATGTTTAAATGGATTGGCCAAATGGGTATTAGCTGGAAAATCTACTTCATGCTTTAATTTTTTTTTTTACAATCGAGATTTCAAAATGCAAAGTCAATTTTAAAGTCAATGAGGAATTTTACTGGCTCATTCATTCAGTTTCTTTAGAGAGAGAATTTGAAAATTAGAAATACATTCTGTAAGTAGCTCTGTCTCCTCTTGTCCCATCTATAACTTCTTGTTCCAATTAGAAGATGATAAGTAGAACTTACAAAATGTCCTTTAATAGTACTTGTTATCCCCTGTAGTGCTTCTGCATGTGGTAGACAAGCAGTTGGGATGATTTTACAGCAGTCTGTTAATTGTGGATGGTCTCAGTGTGAGTTTTTGTGTTCTTTTGTTCTGTTTTAGCTTTTAGGAGAGTACGAGTCCCTTGGAAAAGAACATGAAAGAGTAAAGGTAGGTGCACTCCAGTTAATTAAAAAACCAAACATGCAAACTACGTGATAATGTGCCATAGAATTTGCTGAATTAACTGAGGCATTTTGAAAAAAGCTCAGATGGAAAGATCCATGTTTATTTTTACTGAGAGCTTCTTACTCCATTTGCAGAGCTCTGGAGGGAAAAGGGGGAATTTGGAATGTATTATTTTCCAATCATAGACAGCAAAAATACTGCAAAATCAAAGCCAAGGAAATTTAATGGACCCTTTGAAGGTGTATTTAATGGAGTGTTCTTGAGACTGATGTGGAGTTACTTGTTTTTCTTTTAGTGCACTTCTGGGCTTTTTACTTTTTTCTTTGTGTCCTTGTAGGATACATTAAATACAACTGAGAACAAATTGCTTGATGCAAACACACAGATTTCTGATTTAAAAAGGTAACTGTGAAACTTATTACTCTTTTACCAGTATGAAATACAGACTATGGCCTAAATATCTACTCCTAGATTATAAAGGCTGTAGATCTCTTGCCAGTTTAATTACATTTTATGAAGCATTCCCGTTGTTTGGTGTTAGTTGTACACACTAAAAATCTTGTTATTTTAGAATATGTGTTTTTTTCTACTTCTTCTGCTTCCACAGCAACATCTCCTGGTCCTGTCTTTCTAGCCAGGTTACCTGATTTATTTAACTTGGAATTCCAATCCATATTTATATCTGTACTTAGATAGATACAGAGATACATAGAAATGTAGGAGTTTCTCTTGTTCTCCTGCTTCATCCAGGATATCTGAATAAAAATGAGTAAGCTAAGAAATATGGTGTATCTTTTGTGTCATTGAAATCATCTCCTAATGCATCTTTACTGCTTCCCCCTTAGGACAATTTTAAAACTTGAAGCTCAGCTCAAGCAGGTGGAACATGAAAATATGTTGAAACTTCGCCACATCACCGAGAACCGTTTGAGAACCTCTTGTGCCAAGTGAGTGAATGTTCCAACAACAGGAAAACAGGTCCTGTGTTTGGAATACTTTTTAACGTGTGTTGGCTAAAAGTGGATCAAGATGAGGTCAGTCCATGGGCTAAACTGGATTAAACACATGTAACATAATCCAGAGACTTCACATGCCAAGAAATGATGAAACCCAAATCAGTACTTTGGATAATGGACTGGAGTGTCTCTGGTCTTCCCAAATGAGTGTTAGATGGGTCTCCATTGCTCAGCTGAATAGGGATTTCCACACTCAACAAAGAATTTGGGAATAAAATCTAATACTCCAGTAAGACATTGGAGGTTTTCCTTGTGTGTCCTTGATTTGAAAGGCTGATCACAACTTTTTATGGTTCTAAATATAGTTTGTACAGGTATCCTGAGAGTAGGGTGGGAGTTCAGTGACAATGCACACTGCAGTTTGAATTGGGAATTTATGTTAAGAGAATTAAAACTGATCTGTGTTCTTCTTTTGGTTTTTTTTTGTTTCTTTGTTGGTTTTTTTTTGTTTGAGGGGTTTTTTTTATGTTTTAAAGTCCTGAAAAACTTTGTCCCCCTTCTTTTTTCATTACTTAGTCATGGTTTCTTCAGTATCTCTCCCAGTTCAGCACTGATGCTGTGAAGCTCAAAATGATCATTAATGTGATTTGTGGATATCCACTTGTATATATTTTGGTAGATCTGATTTTTGTTGATTACAAAGATGCAAGTAATTTATGTATTAATATATTAGAGGGGCAGATTTCTGTTTAGAGCTCTTTTAATATTTCTGAACCAGATCCCTCAACAATGAACAGAAAAAAGGAAGACCTGGGCAGGGCAGACCATGTTCATCAGGGAGGGGGATGTAAGAGCCAATATGGATTTAGAAGTTAATCTGTCCCTAACTGATCTCAGAGGCTCAAGGAAAGCCTCATTCCAATTGAATGCCCAGCAGGATAGATTTACACAATAGTACTTATGGTTCATAGCTTGGATAAACAAGGCCCTTTTTTTCTAATTATCTACTTTATTGTGTGTAAAAATCACATTGTTCTTTTGACATTTCAAGATAAGAATATACTAACAGATGCTTGTTAGTCAATATTTGTCACTCTCACATCATCAATGGTGGCTTTTTCTTGGTTTTTGGTTTTTTTCTTCTTTCTTTTTCTAATATTTGGTGTCTAAAGGAAAGCTGGGATCAGATGCTCTGAACTACTGCAATAATCTCCACCAAATGTTTTCATGTAATTAGTTGGGAACTACTGTTACCCAAACCTTGGTCTGAGTAAGCAGCATTAAATTACGGGAAGATCATTGTGGAGCTTTGCATTCTGAGCATATTGTGTAATTTAGACTGAAACCTCAACATAGGACTATTTTTTAAAAAATATTTCACTTTTACTTTACAAACATGTTTTAAAAAGCAGCTATTTTTTCCCACGGTATTTACAAGTTTATTGTATATTTCTTTCTGCTTACTGGAATAAATAGCAGCTTTTTCTTTAAAAAACAAACAAACAAACAAAAAACCCACAAAAACAAAACAAAAAAAAACCCAAAAGAAAAACTCCAAAGCCTTTTGTAATTTTGAAGCTTTTTATTCCCACAGCAAGTTGGGAACTCCTGATGTCAGCAGGAGAAAGTGGCTGATACCAGGAGCTGAATATTCCATCTTCACTGGCCAGCCTTTGGAAGGCCAGGAAAGCCCCAAAGATAACAGATTAGAAGAAAACTATATTCCTCCCAGGTGAGCTGGTTTCCTTCAGTATTCACTATGAGGGAAAGTGGAACACTTCTAAAATTAATAAAGTAGAACACTTGTAAAAACTTGTATTGGCTAGATTTCTATTTCTAGATTTTGTACTTGTTAAATAGAGTTAAAAAAAATTCTCAATGTTGTAGGTGCTGAACAATTACTTAAAAACAAAACACTCCATTAAAAATTTGATCATTTTTTTCCCTCCCCTGCTTCACATCCTTTAAGGTATCACTCTCCTCCTGAAAAAGATTCTTCACAGGAAGACTCTTCAACAAACACAATAGAAAAGAAAGAAAATGAGATGTCAGAAGCACCAATTATAAAAGCCTTTAAAGAACTTGAAGAAGGGAAAGTATTTAAAGACTGGGGGACACAGACAGACAAAGAAGACGCACCAGCCAGTAACTCTTATTTTTATATTCCTGGGCATGTTTTATTGGCTTTTCTTTGTCTGCATGTCTTGGTTTTGGTATTCTCATCATTCAAGTCCATCAGGCTTCAGTGAAGGGATAAAAACAGTGTTAGCATGCAAACTTCTGGAGTTTTTCTAAGAAAATTCAAAATTAGATAGTTAAGTGACTTGTTTAGAATAGAGGGAAGGCAAAGGTTGCTGTTGGGTCTCAAGCTGGAGACTCGTCAATGTCCTCTTTTCTAAGAATATCTCAGTATTTATAAACAGTTAATGGAGCCCTAAGAAAGCTCTGGCTGTACATCCACTTGAGTTTTGTTCTCATGGTGTTGTATTGGAATGTTATTAAGGAAGTTGGTGTGTGTGGGACTGCACTGAGCTGTTGTACAGCAAGGATTTAGGAGCCTTGTCATGAGAAAACATCAAGTCTTTCCTAAATGCTTGTACTCATGGCTCAGGCAGGTACTCCAACCTTCTTTCTCAAAAGATGCTTTTGTCTGATTTCCACTGTTTCTCTATTAAAAAAAAGGAAAGAAAGGCCCCCACTCTGCAAAGATCCTTTTCCATGAGTTAAACTGTCTATTCTGTGAGTAGAAGAGAGACTGGAACAAAACAGCACAGATATGTTGATGTGAGGGAGACTTAAGTGCAGCCTTTGTCATTTGTTATTCAGGAGAATATTTGTGAGTTCTCATATTGAAAAAGATTGATTAATATAACACCTTTTTTTTCTTTTAACTAGAAACATCAAATCGACGTCAGACTGTTGGGTTTGTTGAAGCTTCTTTAGTTGCCACCCCGGAGAAAGGGAAGGACCAACACAGACCCAAAAGGTTCAGCTCCCCTTCGGGCCAGAGGTCATCATCCCTTCCTCCTTCCAACAGGAAACCCAACACTCCAAGTCAGTGCTTTTCTCAAGTTTGCTTTGTGTTACTCGAAAAGTAGGAGCAAACAATGACAGGCTGCTCTAGGAGAGAGCAAAATAGAGGCAGGATTCCTGCATTACTCTGACAGTCTGAAAAGGAGACTGTCTGTAATCACAGCAAATGTGAGAGCTCTGAGTTTATTTTCATTTCTCTGTGTTGTGATGCACTTTTCATCAAATTTAAATAAACATGTAGACAGCTTTGAAAAGCATTCTTTTAGGCTGTAAGCACATGAGTGGGAGGTACTGCACTGGGAGGTTTAAGGTAGATAAACATAATTTGTCTTTTGCAGCAAGAAGAGAGATAATGTTGGCACCAGTGTCTGTGACATACAGCCCAAAACGATCTCCAAAAGAAAACCTCTCCCCTGGATTCAGCCATTTGCTTGGCAGAAATGAAAACACAGTGACAAGGTACGAGTGTGGTGATTACAGTTGTGTTCTGATCATTACTAGAGCAGGAGGATGTTTATTATAGAGGCTCAATGCTGCTGGTTCTTGTCTAGAAAGTGAGTCATGTGAAGTTTTCTGAATATAAAGCTGAGTTTTACTTTTTAAAATCTGGCAAGGAAAATGTAGAAGGGATGTGGGGTTTGTTAGTGACACAACATTGATCAGTGACAAGTAGTTAAAGAAGAATTGTTCTGTGGAATAAGTGCAGATCAGATATGAATAAAAGTTGAAAGTAGGACCTTCCTACTTGTCCTGGTAACTACAAGCATTTTAAAATACACATAAACTTACCTTTCTGCTAACTTCCTAAATACTGTGGTTTCTATCAAAATCTTTGCTTGGCAAAGCTTACAGAGTTTGGGAACACACTTAGCTGTGAGATTAAAGTGTAGGACATGTGTGTGAGGAATAAGAAATGTCCAGCACTACTCTGAGAGTTCCTGAGGATGATGAAACAGGAGCTCAGGGTATTCAGGAGCAACAGCTTGGTGAGGCTCTGAGAGAAAGTCACACAAATGAGAGGTTTTGGTGTGTGCAAATAGGAGAACGTTGGGGTATGGTGCTATGAACAGGAATCAGAAGACTTGCAGTGCCTGTGGGATATAAATAGTTTTATAAAAAAAATTGTTCGTTTAACCAAAAGGTGAAAAAGTAGAAAATTCTGTATTGCCTGATCCCTGATTTCTAACAAGTCATTGCTGTGTGCTTCCTGCTCTGTAGGTTTGATATACTTCTAGATGACCTGGAAGCTGGTGCTACATCTACTTTACAGCACAATAACCCAAGGAAAAGGCTCCAGTTTCTCTCACTAGATGATGCAGAAGGTAATCTGTCAAAGTGGGGGGAAACTCTTCTATATTTTTGTACCACAGTTCCTTCCACAGTAGTAACAGCTGCTTGACTGGAAAGCTGACCCTTGACGAACTCCAACTTTTAAAAGTCCTCTTTTAAAAATCTTTTCTTATCCTTGGAGCCAGAGATATACCATTCATACAGTATTTTATTTTTATGTATATGTGTGTGCACAAACACGGCAGAACAAGAAAAATAATTAAATTGAGGAAGAAGGGCAATACATTTCCCCGTGCTTAACTCAGTTATCCAATGCATATCTTAGGGGGGGGGGTCTGTATTAAGATGTACCTGAGTCATACTAATAAAATTCTATTGCTAAACATTGCATTACAGATAGCAAAAAGTAACTCTAATAAAACCAGTTCTTTCAGATTTTTAAATGATTGATTGAACCAAATCTTTTCTCGCCTTCCTAAGCCTTGTCACAATGTTCTGCTTTTGTTTTTATTGATGCATTTATTTAGCCTGGTGTTTGCCTGACAGCTGCTCTGCTTGGTGATATTTAGAAATGTACCAGTAAAAGTAATTCCTAATTAGCACAATAGAGGAATCTGTTTGTTAGCCAAAAAATATGTTGTGCTACAAAGATCACTTGAAAGATGACCCCTACAAATGTTTTGCATTCTTCTGGGAAGTTGTTTAAGGCAAGGGACTGAGGCTTTGCTTCACTGTCCTTGGTTCACATACCACCACAGTCATGCTGCTTGTGCTGTTATTACTTTGTTTTTCTGTCCTATGCAATCATTTCCCAGACAATTACAAATATAAAAATATAAAAATCCCCCTGCTTTGTTGCTAGGAAGGCAGCATTCAGGTGTCAGGCACAGCTCTTGTGCTGAATCCATCAACAGCGGGCTGAAGAAGGCGGCAGCTTGGGACGAGAGGAGCACAGCTCAAAAATATGAGCCAGTGGCATCACCTGGGGAGGAGGACTTCAAATACACAGCAAGGATCACGACTCTGGCTGAAACAGAGAGGCTTTTTGATGAGCTGACTCAAGAAAAGCAACAGGCAAAGATTATTTTTGTTTTCAAGTTGTGACAAAACATAATTGTTGTACGAGAGGGGAGGGATGGAGCTGGGTGTCCACGCAGTGTGTGGCTGAAATTCGTGCACAATTTTAGTGTCATGCTGGGAATGTGCCATTATCCTTCCCTGCTCTACTTCCAGACATTCTCTGTCCCTAATTTCATTAAAGGAATGCAAACACTGTGAGTGGGGATTGGCACATTATTATGGTCACAGAAGTGAGTGTTAAAGGACAAAACTGTAGCTGTATCAGTAATCCGTACACCTCACCTCTCTTCTTGTAAGAGGAGTTGGGAAGGCTCATATTGGCTCTTGAAACTCTCATTTACAGCTGAAGTGTTTTCTGTTATTAGATTGAGGCTGCACTGAGTCGAATACCTTGTTCTGGTGGAAGAATGACCTTGCAAGCAAGACTGAATCAGGTGAGAAAGCTCCTACATCTGACTGTCCTGTTAAATTGCTCTTCCACAATTTGAGAATACATAGAGGAAAGTTCTGCTGTGTAGTGTGATTTCTGTGGCAATTTTTAGGTTGGTTTTGGGTCTTATGTTATTGTTTTATATTGTTCATATCTTCTATTTTCTGTACATGGCATGAATTTTGCCAACTTGCTGCAAGAATAGTCTGTTCTTGTGATAACACTGAGAGGTAGATAAAGGCAATAAATTAACAGCATGCAGTTACTATGGAATAGATCCCTGAAACTGTGGAGAGGATGTTGTGCTGTAGGAGAAATTGCAAAGTTTAGTTTTTGTTTTGTTGTTTTTTGTCTCCTTGAAAGTATAAAGAGGAAAGTAAGAAGGTAAAAATAAGTAGTGTAGGTGGAATACAGGAAAGTGCCTTCTTTGGGAAGCTCTGCAGACTCTTTTAATAGAAACAAGTGTCTCAAACTTGTGTTTTAAAGGTCTCTGTGAAGCCTTCAGCTTCAGCATTTCCTAAATTCTAATCCTTGTTAGCAATTAATCAGTTTGAAATTTAGAAATAAATACTGCCACTCACTGCAGTGATCAGCTCTTTGCTAAATGTGTCTCCCTCATTATCAGCCTGTCCCAGTTCTTGTCAAGTTTATCTCCTGGAGTTTCATAAGTCACGTGGCCAAAAAACCAACAACTACAAATACACACATCAAAATTATATGGAAAGTTTGGAGGTCTGGCTCTAGTTTTTGGGTGGTAAGAGAATACTGATAATGCCTCAAAAAGGATACCAGGAATACAGAAATAACAGGAGTTTCTTAATTTTAGAAGGATCATTGAATTTTTTATATTATTAATGTTTTTTTCTCTTCCTTGTCTTTGACTCTTCCTTTTAGGAAGCCCTGGAAGATCGTTTGGAAAGAATTAATAGGGATTTGGGGTTGATAAGAATGACTCTGAAAAGATTCCATGTTTTACGGACCTCTGCCAATCTCTGACAGTTCTCTCCTGACTGCAAATATACTCTTTTCCCTTTGGTTTTTTTTTTTTTGCACTAATATATAATTATGCACTCAGTAAATGCAAATTGTTTTGTATTTTTATAAGCCCTCAAAAGTAGTTTTACAACCATGTTACCCTTTACAAACAGCAATATTTTGTACTTGGAACAGCAACCTCTATTTTAAACATATTTTTATTACACCTGAGAAATCAATGTTTATCCTGTATTGTAATATTTTTAGAAATATTAATTATTTTTAAATAGTGATATTGAATTTATAATAAGAATAAGAAACTAAAAGGCAGCTTGTTTTCAGGAAATGATAGTGTTACCCTTTTGCACTTGGTTTTCCTCCACTGTTTTATAAATATTTAGGGTGTGATGTAAATATTAGCCAAGAGGAGATTTTGAACTTTAATACAAAAAGCAACATGAGTTACCTGTGTTAAAGAGAACTGCTGTTCTGTGGTAAATCCTTTCAGCTGAACCCTTTAACATGGATATTTTTCATTGTGACAGAACTGTGAGCAATACTTTCACTATGGCTGTGGTAGGAAAATACTGCTCTGAATTCCCTGATGTCTCCAGCAGTCACAGTGAGTAGTGTTTGATACTGTGAGTACCAGGATTCACCTGACAGCAGCCTCCCTGTCTCCCAGTGAACAGCTCAGCTCCAGCTGACTCTCCAGGACTGGAACTCCTTCCCTGAAGTTACTGGTTTCCTGTGCCAGGCTGGGTTTCGTACCAGTGTTCCCATTGTGAACATTTCATGTATTTGTGGACAGAAATGCATTTTTCTTGGTGAAAAATCCAGATTTGCCAGTTGACATGTTGCTGCATTACCGTCCAACATTGATACTTTGGTTTGTATTTTAATATTAAATAAATGTTTAATTAGATTCTTTCCTCCTGCCCAAGTACAATAATAGGTTCTGGGATATTACATCAGCCATAATGTAGGTTTTAATCATATTGTGTGTTTCATATTCTGTCCTTGTTCAAGATGTTTAGCCACCAATGATGTGATTATAGGGCCAGAAGAGCTGTCATAAAGGAAGCTTGAGAAGGTCTGATTCTAAAATTAGAGTGCTGTGGTTTCAGATATTTCATGAAGAACTGTCCTACCCATGCAGAGTCTTGAAAATCTTGTGGGTTTTGCAACCCCTTGTGCCCTGTGGGTCCTTTCAGTACAAGACCAGAGCTGGGGAGGTGTCAGGGATGTTTTAGTTCCTTATTCCCCTTTACTCTAAAATGTAGAAATTGGGTCTGAATGCATGGACATGAACTTCCTTAAATATATTTCCAGTCCCCACAAAGAGATGCACAATTTTTATGTCATTCCGTGTTCCTACTGGTAATTTTTACTTAGAAAGGGTGGAGGTAGGAAAAAAGAATCTTTGACTTCCCTGCTCAGCTCTATTTAGCCAAAGTTTTCCCAGCATTTTTTTGTTAACAGGCAGAATTTGAAAGTATTCTTCAGAAGTACCACTCAGCCAGTAGGATTTTGCCATGGAATCCATCACAGGAAAATTTCATGAGTCCACTGATGGCCTTGTTTTCTTTCATCAGTGCTACAGCAAAACCAAAGAATTTTCCTGACAGACATTAGAGGCAAGTAGGTAAATCAGCTCAGCTCTTTCAGTGCCTTTCCCTCTCACCTCCCTTCATCTCCACTCCATTCTTTCCAGCACTATTCATATTCATGGACTCTTTTTTTATTACATCCAGAAAACTGAATTGTGAGTCAGAATTTATTTTTTAATCAAAAGTCCTCCTCCATCTGTTGGAACTCTTTAGGCTATTTCTGTTCTATTATAACACTGAAGGGGAAAAAAAAAAAAAAAGTGTTGCTTTTGGTAAACTTCTAGGACAACCTTCTGAAATACCTGCCTGACATGGGGTGACCTGTTCAGTGTGGTACCTTCAGCCTGATTCATCAGAGGGGCAGAGGCTCTGCAGTTCCAGATTAAAGCAGTGGGAGGCCTGAATGCTCAGTGCTCCTGAAAATCACACCCGAAGCGCCAAAAACTGGGACACAGGGAGCGTGTTTACTGTGGGAACCAGGACTGTACCGGCCATGCCCTTTGCTGGACCCTGTCCTTTTTTAAAATCCCTTTTAAATTTCCCCTTAACACAAGAAAATTCTCTATTTGGGGATAAATAAGGACTTCCAGAGAAGGAGAGGAAGGTTATGCCTCCTCCGTGAAGGACTTTAATCATCTTCCCCTTGTCTGACCTGACACGTCCCAGCTATGTTGGCATTTACTGCCTTTCCAGATCTACTTGGTCCTGCCTGGAGCCCCAGGCTCTCCTTGCCTCACACTGGCCCTTAGAAGACACTCCCATGCATAGTTTTCTCTATGATAATAAACATTACAACACCTTCAGCTCTGAGACTTCACCTTTGGAAAATAAAACTTCTATTTGTTCACATTTCTAGAAAGCAAATTAAAAAAAAAAAAAAAAAGGTGTGTAATCTGCCTTGCACTCGGAACTTTGTCCCTAAAAAGAGCTTTGATGTGAACTAGAATTTACTGTAGCAATGAAGGGAACGTTTACAAAACAAACTGGGAGGGACAGAAGGGCAGGAACGATGCATCCTGGAAAAAAACCCCAGGAACGACTGCAGGAAACGAACGAAGGTTCCAAAGGCCACGGCAAATTATTTTTCCTGCGGTTTCTGAATAAAGCGATCGCTAAACTTTTAGAGATTTCCCCCCCTCGGTCTTCGCAGGGAGTGAAGCTGGGGAGTCCCCAGCGCTGCTGCGGGGGGGGGGGGTGAGCGCAGGGACCGGGCTGGGGGTCGGGACCCGCCGACACCGAGCGGGGGGAGGGGGGGGCCGGGCCCGGGGCAGCCCCGCACCGGCCCCGCACAACCCGCCGCGCCCGCCAGGGGGCGCCGCCGCCCCTCCCGCGCGGGTGCGGGAGCGCCGGGGGCGCGGGGAAGGAAGTGGCGGCTCCCGGCGCTCCCGGGGCGCGGGACTCGCTCGGCTCGGCGGGAGGAGAAAGCCGTGGGGCCGCCGTGCCAGGGCAGCGCCGGCGCGGGGCTCCTCGCCTTCCCCGCTCCCCCCTCCCCCGCAGCTGCGGCGGCCCGCCCGCCTCGCCTCTCCCCCCCACCCCCGCCTCCGCCGTCCCCGCAGCGCCGGCGGGCGAGGAGCTGCTGCTGCCCGCGCCCGGCCCGCCCGCGCCGGGGATTATGCGCGC